AAAAAAACCTTTAGTTGCTAGGCAAAGCTCTCATTTCCCCAGCAGCCACAGCAGAAATGACCGTGGAGAAACGGAGCCCCATGGCTGAAAGGGAAATGATCGGGCAACAAGCCAATTGGAGTCCTTGCAGCTCACTGATTTCCCTCGGCTCCTCCTCCGTGCAACACAAAACGCTTGCAGAGAGAAGGACTTGTTCCATTTGCTGCTGGAAATCACCACTTTCTTGCTGGGTCTTTTATTACCCTGTTTCAGTGGCAGCCTGCCCCCCAGGATGGAGGCTCCAGCGTGAGGACGTGCCAGCCACAACCGGTAAGCAGCCATCTCCGAGCTGAGGCAAAGGGGCTATGAGCACCACAGTTCCAGGGTTTCAGCCTGGATGCTTTTCAACCGTTTTCAAAACTGTTGGGTATACTGCAAAATCGTTAAATATTTTCCTTGCCTTTGAGGAAGTAGGGGCAATATCTTGCCATAATGATTTAAGGGGAAACGAAATGTTGGGACAGGAAGGGAAAATTTATTAACTTATCCTTTATGATGCAATTAATCTCTGTGAGAAAAAGCTGCACAATATTTTCTCGTTCTTGTACTTAAATGAATGGGCTTTAAAGTCCCTACTTTGACGGTGGGGGTCGAGTCATGATTTATTAAGTAGAAATATCACCATCCTTTCTACTAGGATCACCAAGGCGCTGTACGAGACACAGCATAAGAATGCTATTTTTAACAAGAGAAAGATCGACTATCAAACTACCTTTAAAATATCAAGATTCCTCCAAAGCCATTTTGTAGCGTTTCAGTGGACAGCCCGTCTTTTGTCTGCCAATAATAAAATAACTAAAGCACAATGAAGCGCCGGCTACCTTGAGAAACTATGCAGAGTTTAGCTGGGAGGGAACGCGTATCAACTGTTCGCAGGCAACCAGCCCCACCTCAGGAGGGAGGGGGTGACCCCAGACGTCTCCTCCCCCCTTGAGGGAGGAGGGAAAAGAAAGGAAGGGTTCTGGCCTCGCGTGACCCAGTTAAGATGAAGCCTCTGCTCGAATTTCAGACGCGTAGCTAACGAGTACAGGAGGAGGAGGAAGAGACGCCTACGCAGCTCAGAGGAACCCTCCCGCCTCGCGGTCGGGTCGTCCACTTTCTGCATTCCTCCACCCTTCTGGGAAGAACCCGGCAGGCCTTCTGCTTGCAGCTGCAGCAACTATAGGACCGGCGTCATGGTGAGGGATTCGTAAGGGGTGCGCGAGACACCGTGCGCGCGCGTGCACTCCCCGGCACGTTCTGAGGGCAATGCAATTAGGCGGCGGGGTTGTTTAATTAATGGCTGATGCGACAAGGTTTTGAGAGCGAACCGGATGGTGCATAACGCTAAAAAGCAAGTCTCATCTTTACATCCAGGTGTCGGCTGGGTGTCCGCTAGAAGGGTTGACAGGGGAAAGGCTGTAGAGCAAGGCTGACGTGGGCTGGGATATAATTGAGATAATGGTGGTTCACCCTTCCCCAAACCAGCACGCTGCGGTTTGTAGATCTAAGCTACTGGAGTCCCGAGGACCACTGGATGGCCGCAAGTTTTGTTAGACCTTTCTGTACCTCATTGCTGCCATTTAACTGCTGTGCAGCCCAGACATGGTAGTCTGTATTATGAGAGTTGTATTCCAACACATCAGGGGGCATCAGGTAAGGTATGTCAGTTGTATGATCACTGGGGTAGAGTCAAGATTTGCTCTCAATAGAATGAGTGGATGGGCAGACAGGTGTCCAAGGGATAGCTTGCTCCATTTTATCTGAGTTTGCACAATATACTGAACTACAAACTAGCCAGCTATGTTTTAGCTTAGCAGGTTGTATGAACCAAGCCTTGGTCCTTCAGTGAATTGTCAGATCCCAGAAAAGTGGAGTGAGTAAATGAATTAATTTGAAAGTGAGTGTGATATAGTAGTAAAAAGGTTAGATTCAGGTTCTGTTCTGTCTTCAGCCAGAGTCTTACTAGACGACTCTAGGCCAGTCACTCTCTCTCAGCCCAACCTACCTTACAGGATTGCTGTAGTGGGGGAAAATAGGAGGAGGGAATGCTATAGGCCACTTTGAGTTCCTGAACAAAAAAGTATCTTTACCTTTACTGTTTAGTGTTTGCATAATATTTCCTAGGTTTCATTGCCATTCACATAATTAAATAGTATAATCTTTGCAACAACCCCGTAAGTCAGGTCAGAATTTTATTTCCCTTCATTGTAAATGGAGGGCTGAAGGTGAGAGTGATTTTAGATTTAATGGTAAATTCAAACCTGTTAATTTTGAATCTGATTTGAGATGATAACAAACGATTACAGATTCAGGCTTTGTGCAATTTGTGAAGAATTATGTAGGGAAGACTATTTGGGGGGGGGTGATTATGGATGTTGGGAAGCAGAGAAGGAAGACCAAGTTTTCCTCAGAGTGCAGATGTGATGGTACAGAACTGAAAAGATAAATGATCTGGGCATTACTGATGTGACTATTTGAGACCTTAGCAGAAGAGTACTTGAGAGATTGGGGAAGTTGATTGGACATTACAGGCTGGGGGTGCATTACTGACAGTCTACTCTAGAGAAACTCACAAGGAGAGCAAACACCTGGTTTTACTGTGGCATAGCTCAGGTTGCAAAAGTTTCTGCTGTTTTACAGTTTGTGATACTAGAACTCTGTTAGGCATGGGTGCAGGAAATTTTTCTATTCACAAGAATATTCCCCTTACTCTTCCTTTTACTACTTGAACTCTCTAGTAGATTTCATAGACAACCTTCTCACGAACCTAGTCTTTCTAGTTAATTTACAGTCTCTATATAACGCTGCCTGCCTTGATTTTTCTTGCTTATAAAGCAGCGTGAATCAAAATTCTTAGAGTGAGGCAAGAATTTTGATACATCCTGCTTATATAAGCCTGGTGTTTGCATGGTGTTTCCTGCTTTTTCAGCATTCCAAATTTGTCACAAGTAATGATAATCTCATGGCAGATTTCAAAATGGAGGGATTGGGAATACAAATGTATGGAAATACCCTTGTTTTGCTATTTTTATCTCTTCTTGCATGTATCTTAATTGCAGTTTTATTTTTATATACATTTTATGTTATCAGCTGTAAAAAATGGTATTTGTGTGCCAAAATGTAATTGAGGGTTATGCATACTATGTTTGTCTCAAGGTGCCTGAGTTGCAGAAAATAACTGTCCGGATGAAGAATCCTGAACATGTAAAAAATATAGTTTCAGCACTCAGGAAAGGTGGAGCAGCAAGACTCCAGGTGTGTGATTCTTTTCATAACCTTAGCTTCTTCCCCATCTCTTTTCAGGGTATCTGTTTATTCCAACAAGTTTTACCAGCATAAAAAAGTGGTACCTTCCTCAAAATGTAAATGGGGCCAGGACAAAACTAAATGTAATTTAAAATTAAATACAGTTAATAGGATCACAAGCTTCACATTTAATCATTTCCCTCCATCTCATTAATAATTACAGTTTAACATCAACTGGGGTTTAGTGTTGCATCAGAGCTTTTGGAGGAGTATGTATACCCCTGTTTTAGAGACCTAATTCTTAAATTGCTCTGTCCTGTGGTGCTGTAGGATGCTACCTGAACACAGTATTCCTTGGAAAGTTACCAAGTCTCTCCTTTCCCATTCAATCCAGGTCATTTCTGATTTTGACATGACTCTGACTCGGTTTGGCTTCAATGGGAAGCGCTGTCCTACTTCACACAGTGAGTCTAATTTCTGGCCTTTTCTAATTGTCAGCTCCCTTTAAAAAAAAAACCAAAACCTTGTTCTTCTCCTTGGTGACCTCCCTCCCTCCCTCTCTCTTTCTCCTTGATGTTTTCCCATATTTTTGTGCTCATTCTCATTCTTCTTTACAAGGAGGCTTGTAAAGGCTTCTCTTACTTCCTCCTGGTCCTTAGGCCATGTTTAAGAGAGTTATTGATACACTGTAGTTATGAGTATATTCACACGATGTGCTAATCCCAATCTGGTTGTAATTATAACCAGGCTAATCCAAGGCAAGACAAGTTTTACTGGTTAACCACCATTCTGGATTGCTGAAATAACCTTTTATTTTAGAGATGTGTAAATGTTTCTTTTAAACCATAGTGGCCTTATTGGGGCCAAATTGAGGACAGAATGGGGTAAGACTAAGCCTTCTCTGGGCTATTTTATACCCCCATATTGCACACAACCTCTGGAGTGTGAAAAAAAGTAGCAAAGAGATCCCATGGTCCCTTAACTATTCCAGCCTCCTACCTTCCTGAAAAGGGAAGTTCCCCTTGCTCATCTGAGTTCAGACAATATGTTGAAATACGGTTTAGCTTATGACAAACTACATTTTCAAATTGTGATTAAGGCACTCTTTCTTAACCAGAATATGATTCCTGATTTGTAGCATATACTAGATTTAAACACAAAATGGTTTAATGTTGTTTCAACATAGTCTAAAAATAGTTATGATTTAGAAATTCCATGAATAATAGTGAGTAGAAGACATGATTTCACAAAGTTTGAGAAGCACTGCTATAGGTAAGGAAAATAATAAGCTGTTAGGCAATTTTGCATGTATACACAATTTACACAGATCTAAAGAACTACTCTCTGGAATGCTAGTCTAATCTGTTTTCAACCAGGAAATGTACACAATTTCCATTCTTATTTTCATAGGCTCAAGAACTAGAAACTTGCTTTTTAAATAAAGTTATACAGTAGAGTCTCATTTAACCGACCTTCGCTTATCCAACATTCCGTCTTATCTGACGCCCCTAAAAAAAACACAACACGCATAAATCGGCGATGAGAAAAGTGTGCCGCATGTTTGCGAGCGTGAGTGTACTGTTTCTTGTTGCTCCT